TGTCCACGTCCACCTCCGTGAGCCGGGTGGCACCCACAAGGAGGACTTTGCATCAGGCACGGCAGCTGCCCTGGCTGGGGGTGTTACTATGGTGTGTGCCATGCCCAACACCAGCCCTGCTGTCACCGATGCCACCTCTTTTGCTTTGGCACAGAAGGTGAGGAGCTGCTGCCAGCCTGGTGCTCACATCCCTCCTGTGCCAGCCATGGTGGACTCACTGTTCATGGTGGGCTCTTTGCTGGTGGCAGGGCTGGTCCCACCACAGCACCCACTGCCTCTTGTCCTGCAGCTGGCTGAGGCTGGGGCCCGCTGCGATTTTGCTCTCTTCCTGGGAGCTTCCTTGGACAATGCTGGCACTCTGGGCCCCCTGGCTGGGGCAGCCGCTGGGCTCAAGATGTACCTGAATGACACCTTCTCCAGCCTGAGGATGGATGACGTGTCCCTGTGGATGGAGGTGAGCAGGAGGGCAGGGGCTGGCACAGGGCAGATCTGCTCCTGGCACCGGTGCCCACCAGCCCTGTTCCCCCCAGCACCTGGAGCAGTGGCCGCGGCACCTGCCCATCGTGGCACACGCTGAGCGGCAGACGGTGGCCGCGGTGCTGATGGTGGCCCAGCTGTACCAGCGTCCTGTGCACATCTGCCACGTGGCCCGCAGGGAGGAGGTGAGCAGGGCGAGCTGTGGGTTCTAAGGATAGAGCACGGGGCCCTGTGGGTTCCCCACTAACCACGGCTTCCCCAGATCCTCCTCATCAAGGCGGCCAAGCAGAGGGGGATCCCGGTGACGTGCGAGGTGGCCCCGCACCACCTCTTCCTGAGCCAGGACGACCTGGGGCGCCTCGGGAAGGGCCGTGCAGCCGTGCGGCCAGAGCTGGGCACCCGCCAGGACGTGGAGGCGCTCTGGGAGAACATGGACATCATCGACTGCTTTGCCACTGACCACGGTGAGTTGGCAGGGATGGTGGCCGTGGGGCAGGGATAGTGCTGGGGACAGACAGTCTCCGGTGACCAGCCCCATCCCACAGCACCTCACACGCTGGAGGAGAAGCAGAGCCAGGAACCACCCCCTGGGTACCCTGGCCTGGAGACGATGCTGCCGCTGCTGCTGACGGCCGTCTCTGAGGGGCGGCTCAGCGTGGAGGACATCGTCCAGCGCCTCTACGAGAACCCGCGCAAGATCTTTGGGCTACCTCCGCAGGAGGACACCTATGTGGAGGTGTGTCCCTGCCCACCTGCCCCAGGCCCAGCCCCCACCCTTTTGCCTCTGACCCACTGTCCTGGCAGGTGGACCTGGAGCACGAATGGATCATCCCCAGCAGCACAGTCTTCTCCAAGGCCCGTTGGACCCCCTTTGAGGGCATGCAGGTGAAGGGGACGGTGCGCAGAGTAGTCCTGCGTGGGGAGGTTGCCTACATCGATGGGCAGGTAAGGTCCTGGGTCCTTTTCATCCTGCATCGAGGGTGTCCCTCATCACAGAGAGGGTCCTCCGGTGCTGACCCCATTTCCCTAATCCCATCTCTGTGACGGCTGCAGGTGCTGGTGCCCCCTGGCTATGGGCAGGATGTGAAGAAGTGGCCCTCAGGAGCTGCACTGCTGCCACATGGGGCCCCCACCAAGGAGAGTGTAAAGGTACTGAGGTGTAGGGACCTGGCAGGGGGGTTCCTCTCCACCCTAGCTCCAGCTCTGTGTCTCATTTCAGACCCCTGAGCAGTCCCGGCACATGGCTGGTGATGTGCTGCGTGGACGAGCCCCCAGCCCCCGGCGGCCCGGCCCCGCGGGGGACACACGCTTCCACGTCCCACCCCGCATCCACCGGGCCTCCGACCCCGGGCTGGCAGGTAGGGGGGCGGCCGGTGCGGTGGGCCGTGGGTCTGGGAGCATGGCTGGGTGGCCCCGCTGATGCCAGCCCTTGTGTCCCGTTCAGCATTCCGGAGGCTGGGAGCCGCACAGCGCCCGGGCGCCCGAGGCACCGGTAATGTCGGGGGGGGGACTCATTAATGGCACTAACTGCAGCCTATGAGTGCATCCCCTCCCCCAGGTGCCGTGCAGGCCCCGGGCTGCCTGCGCTGCCCACCACGGGCCCCTTCTGGCACCCAGCACCAGAACTGGGCACTGTAGGACAGGGCACGGCCGTGCTGCCCACTCCCCTCCTGCCCCAGCCTGCATGGCACCTCGGGGACCGCTCACCTGCCACTGTGATCTGGGGGGGTCAGTTGGGAATTGCGGGGCGAGCAGGGAGAGGGTCGCAGCACAACGTGGGGCTTGGACTGCCAGAGACAGATGGTCTCTGATTGACCATCACCCTGGTGTCGGCCCATCTTGATTTCATCTGGTGTTGCCAAGTGCCAGGAGGGCTGTGCCACGCTGGCAGCACGCTGGGAGGAGAGCGGGGCCCGGGGTGCTGCCTCTCCCCACAGCCCCCAACAGCACTCCTCCCCTCTCCCACCCAGCTGAGGACACTCGTGAGAAGGGCATCAGGAAGCCAGCGGAACTGGGTGAGTGCAGCAGGGGCCCACAGTGGGGATCCAGGGTGCACGGCTGGTGGTTGGGCTCCTCAGGGCGCCCCCGTGGGCTGACCGGCTGCTCTCGGTGCCACAGATTCGGCGGTGGTCCAGGACAGCCATTTCTACCCACTGGGCCCTGTTCCGCGCCAGGCGTCCCCTCAGCGTGCCCCCCACCTGCAGACCTCCCTGCCTCTGCACCCCCTTGTCGGGCAGCACGTCCTCTCTGTCCAGCAGTTCTCCAAGGAGCAGGTGCCCGGCCGGGCGGGTGTGGGGGCTGTGGGTGCCACGGTGCTTCCTGTGCCCCGGCTGAGCCCTGGTTCCTCATGTGCCACCTGTCCCTTAGCTGTCCCACCTGTTCAACGTGGCACACACCCTGCGCATGCTGGTGCAGAAGGAGCGGAGCCTGGACATCCTCAAGGTGAGCCATGCACAGAGTGCATCCCTGTCCCCTGGGCACCCCGAGGGAGCCCTGTACCAGCCCAGCCAGGGCTCCCCGAGGTGACAGCCCGGCCCTGCAGGGGAAGGTGATGGCGACCATGTTCTACGAGGTGAGCACACGGACCAGCAGCTCCTTTGCAGCAGCCATGAGCCGGCTGGGTGGCTCTGTCCTGTCCTTCTCCGAGGCCACGTCCTCGGTGCAGAAGGGCGAGTCGCTGGCTGACTCCGTGCAGACCATGTGCTGCTACGCTGATGTGCTGGTGCTGCGGCACCCCCAGCCCGGCGCTGTCGAGGTGAGAGGGGCTGGGGAAAGCTGCCTTATTTTCTGGAGGCACTAGGACTCTGCCCCAAGGCAGGGATGGTGACCTGTGCTATGGGGCAGGGACGTGGTCCCCAGCTGGTTGGGACTGGGTGCTGCTCCTGCGGGGCTGGTGGGAGTTGTGCCCTGCCTGTGCTCACCTGCCCTGCCTTGCTGGTGCTCCCAGCTGGCCGCCAGGCACTGCCGCAAGCCGGTGATCAACGCGGGGGACGGCGTGGGGGAGCACCCCACGCAGGCACTGCTGGACATCTTCACCATCCGCGAGGAGCTGGGCACGGTCAATGGCATGACGGTGAGGGGCCGGGGCCAGGCGGCACGGCCGGGTGGTCAGGGGGCCCTGTGTAGGCCCTGAGGGGCCATGGGCAGGCTGGGCTGACCGCTCTCCCCAGATCACCATGGTGGGTGACCTGAAGCACGGGCGCACGGTGCACTCCCTGGCCCGCCTGCTCACCCAGTACCGCGTCAACCTGCGCTACGTGACCCCTCCCGGCCTCCGCATGCCCCCTGACATCACCAGCTTTGTGGCCTCCAGGGGCATCCAGCAGGTGAGGAGCAGGGTGGGGGGCTGGCCCGCACACACTCTCTGGCCCTGTGCCCCCCTCCAACCTCACGGTGCTGCCCCAGGAGGAGTTTGGGAGCATCGAGGAAGCGCTGCCAGACACGGATGTGCTCTACATGACCCGCATCCAGAAGGAGCGCTTCGAACGGGCCGAGGAGTACGAGGCTGTGAGTGAGGGGAACCTGGGTCCTGCTGCCCTCCAGGGGCGTGGGGAGTCCCCTGCCCCAGCTCAGGGCTCTGTGTGTTCCCTCAGTGCTTCGGGCAGTTCATCCTCACACCCCACATCATGACCCGGGCCAAGGAGAGGATGGTGGTGATGCACCCCCTACCCCGTGTCAACGAGATCAGGTGGGGAGGGTGGGAGCAGGCGTGGGGCAGGTTTGGAGGGAGTATCTGCGGTGCCTGGGAGAATGGGCTGTGAAATATACAGGGCAGAAGTGGGGGCACTCAGGGCATGGGGGCTGTAGGAGGGCTCTGAGGGAGCTGGGGCAGGGGTGTTGCTGGGGAGGCTGGCAGGGACATGGCAGCTGCGGGGTGCTGGGGGTGTCCAGTGTGTTCTGGGAATGTCCGGGAAGGCGCGGGGGCCAGGAGCAGGAGCACTGCAATGTGCAATGGCAGGGCTGGGGAGAGCTCGGAGCGACGGGGCGCGCAGCTGCTGGGTTTGGGGGGACAGGCTCCACTGTGCAGTGCGTCCCGGGTCTCGGGGGGTGTCAGGACTCCCATGTGGGTCAGTGGTTCCAGGGAGGATGCTGAGCGTCCCGGGGAGGTGCCAGAGGTCGCGGGATGAGTCAGGGTCGAGAGTCCCGGGGGGGTTCAGGGGTCCCAGATGGGTTCGGGGGTCGCGGGCGGCTTCGAGGGTCCCGGCTGGGTTCGGGGGTCCCGGCTGGGTTCGGGGGTCCCGGGCGGGTTCGAGGGTCCCGGGCGGGTTCGGGGATCCCGGCTGGGTTCGGGGGTCCCGGGCGGGTTCGAGGGTCGCGGGCGGCGCCCGCTGATGACGTCATCACGCAGCGTGGAGGTGGACTCGGACCCGCGCGCCGCGTACTTCCGGCAGGCCGAGAACGGGATGTACATGAGGATGGCGCTGCTGGCCACGGTCATGGGCCGCTACTGACCAATAAACGCTCTGCTTCGCGACACGACATCGCGCCGCGACTCGCGTCACTGCGCCGCGACTCGCGGGGCCATGGCGGCGCTGTGGAGGGGCTGCGGGCGGCTGCTGGCGCGGCGGCCCGGGGCGGCGCAGGCGCTCACAGCCGGTAAGGGACGGGACGGGCCCGGGCCCTGCGGCGGCCGCGCCCTGAGATCCCCGGCCCCGCACACGGCCCCCCTGTCCTGACCCTGCGGGCACACAGGCCGCCCCTCCCCGGCACACTGAATGCCCCGCACATGCCCCTCCTGGCCCCTGCTCTCCCCGGTGCGCCGGTTCCCCTCCCTGTACACAGCCCCATCAGCCCTTCGCCCCGCTCTGTGGGCACCGGCACCCCCGCGGGAGGCAGGGCAGGGCACGGCTGTGGGTGCCTCAGGGGTCTGTCTCAGGGGGAAGAGGTGCTGCCATGCCCCAGGCTCAGCAGGGACGCCCGTGTGTCCCCTGGCCCACTCCTGGCTCAGGAGATCTATGGCAGGGGTCTGTGCTAGTGGGGACTGTAAGGATGTGTAGCCCTCACACCCAGACCCGGGGGGAGCTGTTGGGGACCCCGTCCACTGGGAGGGGGTGGATGCTGAGCTGTAGCACTGGGAACTCACAAGGGCTCAGCTCTTCGTGTTTGCCAGCACTCAGTGGCAAAGGCATTGAGGTGCTGCCTGAGGAGATTGAATCTCCCTGACGCCGCTGCTTGCAGAGCTGTGAGCTGCCATAAATCTGCCCTGGTGTTGGCTTGTGGTTCTGCTGCTCCAAGGATTTGCAGCCCTGGGGCACCAGGCATCTCCGCTCCCCCCCCCCCCAACTGCTGCCCCTGCCCTCCTGCTCCCACCAGCCCAGGATGCTGGGAAAGCACAACCCTGGGGTCTGGGGGTGCCCTGCTGAGCTGGGGGCTCCCCTCACTGTGCAGTGTCTGGCCCTCAGCCCTGATAGCCGTGGGGGGGTGGCACGATGCCCCCCTGCCTGGCTGCTGGGGCCCTGCCAGGCCGCTCTGCTGTTCGTGCTGTTATTTTTATCGGATGTCATGGAGTCTATTGCTGGCGCCTGCGGCACCCGGTGCTACTGGCAGCACATTCCCCTGTGCTTGGCGGGAGGCCAGGGTAGGGCTGGGATGGGCTTCCCAGGGCTGGCCCTGCCCACACCTCCCCTGCCCGCTGTGGCCCTGGGCTGGCTCTGGCCTGGGCTCTTCTCTGCCTGTTGCTGCTTCCCATGGGAGCTGGCGCTGCTGTGACCCAACCCCCTGTCCCCAGGGCTCTGCCAGCCTGCAGGGGTGCGGGGCAGAGCCATGGCGGGGCACGGCCTCTCTGTGGATGCTGGGCTGGTGCTGGATGTGGTTCCAGCAGCCCAGAGGTTTCTGCCCTCGGGCTGGGCTCTCGCTGCTGCAGCAGGTGCCCAGCTCCAGCCAGGGGGACATGCGTGCTGCTGCTCTCCTCGGAGTGATCCCCATCCATGGCCAGGCTCAGCCCCTCATTGCTGGCTGTGCCATGGTCCGTGCAGCTTCCCGGGTCCTGTGCCCTCTGCCAGGTACATCCCAACCTCCAGCCCTGCCTTCTCTTGCTGCTCCCAGAGACCCCAGCACTGCCAGCTGGGGCCAAGCCAGGGAGCTGCTGGCAGTTGGCTGTGCCCACTGTGTCCAGCCACACTTGCTGGCTGAGCTGCTGTCCGAGGGCTCCAGGGTCAGGTAGGGCTTTGCCTCCTGCATCCTGGGCTCTGGGCCAGGCTGCCAGCAGGGCCTGGACACAGTGGGCAGTAGCACGTGCCTGCAGCCGTGACCCTCCTGTCCCTCTCTCCCTGTGGAGAGCAGTCCCCTGTTCCTGCCATGGCAATGCCATGGGCATGAAGATGGTGCCCTGCTTAGGTTTGGGCCCCACTCAGAGTCTTCTGGTGTGAGAACATCAACCTGGGGGTCGGCTAGGAACCCCAGGCACCAGGTTTGGCTGGGATGAAAGCTCCAGCCCCGCACAGGAGCTGTGGCTGGGCTATGCTGGTGGCACCCTGGGCAGGTACTGTAGCCAAAGTCATTGCAGGGGGCTGGGTCTGGCTGCATCTGCAGGCCCAGGAAGGGATGCACAGGCAGGTCTGTCCCTCCTGGCACAGCCACATCACTTCTGGGCACTGTACCCAGACCCTTTGGCACTGGATGAGTAACAGCGGTGCCTGCTGTGTTCTCCATGAGCGCCGTGCCCCTGCA